ATGCCAGCATGAAATCTCTGAGCCCAGGCGATCATGGTGGTCGTGATCCCCAAGGCTTGAGTGTGTGCGAAACCCTCTCACAGCCAGGACCAAGAGTCTTGCACTGGATGGGGCTTCGGGTTCTGGCTGTGCCACACTCTTGTGTGTCATGCATTAGATCCAATCACACCTGTACCTGCACTTGTTGAGGGGGTCACAGATGATGAGATCTGGCTTCCAATCAGCATTGTTGAATCTGTAAATTCGTGATTGTGTTGCAATGCTGCACATTCTAGGTCTTTTCCATATCCATATTTGTGGAACTGAATCCAACACTTTTTCTGACCTACACATATTAGCCTACAGTTTCTTTTCTTGGATTTGGTAGTCATCTTAACCATCCTTGGTACCTCTTCTATTTCATTTTTACCTTTTCTAATTCCATATGAAATAAGTATACCTAATTAGATAAATCATAAATTGGATTTCATGTGTTCAGTGTACTGCTGCTGCTGTTATTTCCATAGTGCCTAGAAGCACATGCCTGGCCCTATCACCTCAACACTCTTGATTCTTTATTTCTGAGATGAATTGTTTTCACCAGTACAAGGGCGGGACACTCTATTTGCATGTAATATAGATATTGGTGGGGCTGAAAGGAGTATTGTCTTCTGAAATAAGGGTCAGTTGAGAGCTGTACAGCATCCCACATACTTAGAAGCAAATGCAGGATGAACTTTGTAAACATCTTGCCGCAACACTTTGGACTCCACAGACCTAACATCAGATATACAGCTACAACTCCCACTACTTTCCCTTATTTCAGAACTTGGGTCCTATGGGAGCTATGTTGCCACCAGCCTCTTTTGCCCCCCACTTGCACATGTACTTCCTTTTATGTCTGTGTTCATCAAGGGACAAAAAAATTGCTCTCAGGCTGAAGCCAGTGAATTGGTTGATGCACATGCGTACTTGAATCTTCTTGTTTCTATCTCTGGTTGTACTGGTTCTTGTCAAAGGGAAGTTAACATGGCCAGAGGCAAGCGTCCCACAAGAAGCACTGGATCAATACAATGTATCATCCATTAATCTCAAGGGATGAGAGCAGAAAAAATCTTTTAATTCAGCTGGGTGTATTGTGTTAATTCTGGGAGGATGGTGTGCCACCACTGTGACATATTCAGTAGATTTGGTCAAGTTACAGCCACCTCAAATGTAGTAGTTCTCTGCACAGCTGTGATGTGACTGTCTCTAATGTGCTGTCTTCAGTTCTGGACACTGCATTATCAAAGAGATCATGTTACCTGGAGACAATCATAGAAGAGCCAAAAAGTTAAAATAAGCAAATCTATATTTAAGTTACTTACCACTGGTTTCAAACAACTTTGCTCCTCTGTACTCGTCCTCTCTTGTCAAGACTGTATTGCCCCTGTCACCTTTGCTCTGTTGTGTTCTCAACCTTGTTCACTCCTTTGTCAGCTTCTTGTGCAGGTGTCTCTGTACTACAGGGATGGGCAAAATGCGGCCTGGGGACCGGATGCGGCCCGCCAGGCCATTCTATCCAGTCCACGGGGCCGCTAAAAAATTTAGAAAATTAATATTTATCTGCCCCTGGCTGCCTATCATGTGGCCCTTAATGGCTTGCCAAAACACAGTAAGCGGCCCTCCGCCCAAAATAATTGCCCACCTCTGCTGTACTCTCTTCCATGTGGCCCCATGCAAGGTCCATGATCTCATCTGCAACTCCCCTATTTGCCCACTTTTACATCTCTCCAAGATCTATGACTGCTATGTTGCTTGTGATGAATCTAGATGATTTATGCATACATTCCCTCTTGTTCTCTCTCCTACATCAACCTGTTTGTCTACCACCATGTCTAGACTGCAAACTTACCATGCCTGACAGTGACGCCCTCAAATGCTCATGCTGTTCCATATGTGATACTTTCAGCCAGAAGCAGAACAGCTGCACCCACACAACTCTAGGAGATGGGTAACTGTCACTGGGCACATCTACACATGCATTAATGTGCCGTATACGGCGCATTAAGTTTCGTACCTGTAATAACAGGTTCTAACTCAATGTGTCATAATCGGCACTATTATGGAGTAGCACTGGTGCACGTCTTTTACATGATGCTAATGCGCAGTAGACTAATTCTACTGTCCACTAGCACATTAGCATGGCTTTTGCTGTCATATGCTAATGCACAGAAGAATTAGCCTACTGCACTTTTAGCGTCTCATGTAGACACGCCTACTGTCACTCAGCACCACTGATGAGGTTCCCCTTGACACCACACTGACATAGCTACTCTGTTTCCAACTGAGGAGGAAAGACTGGGTACAGAGCAGCCAGATGTTCCTGAGGGTACCACAACCAGGTACAGGAAGTTTGCTGTCTAGATAGCAGCCTTTCTATCCTCAGAGCATGAATCATCTTTCTCCAGTGTTTTACAAAGCTGAATGACAAAATCTTTGATATCAAGAAAAAAATGGGTCCAGCAATAGAACACAGTTGACATCATTAATACATTTCCTATCACAGGCCCTGCATCTAAACCACCTGGTTTATCAAGGCAGAGCTGGACAATGTTGAACAGGGTTTGTACTGGAGAAGGTAGATGGTAGACTGGTACTTACTACTAAAATGAAATTTTATTAAAGACCCCAAGTGTGTGTGTGGCAAAATCCAAATTATAGCATGCATTGCAGAGGAGTGTCCTAGGTATCATTTTAATGTTTGCATTGAAGACCTGCACCAGGCTACTGATGATGCTTGCAATGGATATCAAATCTAAAACTGTCATTCCAGCCTTATCCCTCAATGTGTATAGATTGTTTATAACGTGTCCTGTCAGTTGGTTGCTGTATGCCATACAAATAAATAACATACAAAGTGTCTAGCAAATAACGGCTGCTACAGGAATAGAGCATAACGTTTTGGGGGCTGGGTTTGTCTTTGCTTTCTGTTTTTGGTGCAACACTTCCTGAAGTGAAGCCCTAACACCTGACTCCTGGCAACCGCTCGAATACAAGCAATAAACACTACTGCTGTGACTAAGCTAGTAACATCATTTTCACCTGAAAAAAATTATTAAAAATAATATTAGGCCTAAGTGAACATTTTATCTTGGTTATAGTTTTTAATTTTTTTGCAAAGAGTGAAATTAGGGGTTTTTTTCCTTTTGAAAAAATTCTTTTTCTAATGTTTTGAAGGGAGAATCTATCACTTTTTTTTTTACTTTTCTCTCCTTTTTGTTTTAACCATCCCTAAAATAGTAATTACTCTTTGTTAGGAAGGACCTGATAAAAGGATTATACAATTTAGCAAGGTTAAAAACATCAAGGGCTAGAGACAGACATTACACATACTCACCAGTATGAGTGATTGGAAACTGGTTCAGATCTGCAAGACAACAGAAGTTCAGTGCACATAAACTGCTTTCAAAATGGACAAAACCGGTTTAAGATAAACTTGGATGGATGTAGTATCAGGCTTAACTGATTTAAATTACAAGGGTTTATTGATGTGTGCCAGATTCCCTCCAGATTCAAGTTAGCTTACAGTCCCCCAGCATCCCAGAGTGCTTTGCACCTCCCTCACAACCCCCTTCCCCAACAGGCTCAAGCTGCCTGATTCAGCAGAGCAAGGAGGCATGCTTTAGCATCGCCCAACTTCTGGCCTGGCCCACTGCTGCATTTCTGGAATCAAAAGTGAATGTCTGTTCACTTGCTTATTGGTTCAATCTGCGCAGCTTAAACTAACTTGCAAAGATTGAACAGATTCAGCCTTGGGCTTTTTGACTGTGTATACTTAGCCCAAGAGTAAAAGGAAATGAGTTAGGCTAGTTCCACACTACTGACAAGTGCCTGCATAGCCATGCTTGTCAAGGACAGGATGAGGCATGATACCTGGCTGACACCAGCAGGCCAGCAAAAGCCCCTTACATAGGGACAGTTATACGAACAAATCAGTTTTTCATAGTTTCATAGTTTCATAGTTTCTAGGGT